GTCAAATATTTTATACTTTATATTTTTTTTTTTCATAAAATTTGTTAAATGTATATTGAAAACATTAATTTCTTTTCATTACTACACTAGACTGTTTCGGATCACAGTATCAATTGTTAACATAAAAATAATACTCATTTAATTTTAATTTAATTCTTCAATTTTTATATTTTCTTCAATCATATAAAATTTTCATATTTTGAGTAATTACATATCAGTTTCAAGGTTTAAACATGCAACTTTTTACTAAAGTTATCAATGCAGTATTTTCTTTTATTGCTGTTACTTCAAAATTTAACATTCAACACGTTTTCGCTCACCAACATTTCTATACACGCTAATACAAATTATTACATATTGTCATGTATTTCGATAAAAGTTAACTTCAAATTTCGCTATAATAGCGAATGTAATAAATTGTAATAAAAGAATTTTTGAAAATTATGATTTACATTCAATGATTAAAGAACAGATTCTTTTTTTATAGTGTTATTTTGAAGTTTAATTGTAAACCATTTAAATCATGTATTATAGTAATTTTAATGCATCAAAATATGTAGTAATTCGTCTATTCTATTAATGCATTGAAAGTTACATTGTACATAAGTTATGTAAGTAGTGTGAGATGGGTATGTCGACGTCAGGGTTTACAGATAAAATTAATTTTCTAATTTTCGTCAGTAAACGTTAGAATTCTTGGACGAGCGTTGTTTACTTTAGGAATGTATTTTAATTTGCAGAAAAATATTGTTTCTTTCATCTCTGATATGAAAGGTCTATGTATACGCATGTCTGTGCATTAAAAAGAATGAGAGCTCTCTATGGAACTATTTCCATATCATTCTTAAGCACCATACCATCATCAATCTTCATGAAACAGAAATATATTATTTCTAATATTATTTATATCTCCCTTCCTTTACAAATCTAGTACTAGTAAACATATATATGTGTGGGCGCCAGTGTGGAAAATATAGGAAACATGAATAGAAGTAATTTATAATAGAAATGTATGATGATGCTGTGGATTAATTTGCCAATTAAACTCATAAAAATGATTGAAACAAGCACACAAATGTCTGAACACATTAGTCATTGATAGATTATTACTGTTCTTGTTCTTCATGCTCGTCGATTTAGACGACGCACGGACAACTAATTTTGACTGTTCTGATTTCTCAGTTGGCTGTTAAGATTACATCTATAGATTAAGTCTGCAGTAAACATAAAAAAATATTAGGCTGTAGCTTCTGCTTCTCCATTGCTTTCTGCTTCAGCACACTTTTCTTCAAGTCTTGTTTTCTTCTCAGGACTTGCACCGTCGGTAGCAGAATCTTCTGTTGTATCACTTAAAGCTGTTGACTTCCTCTTTATACAGCAATTATCAACAGGAGCATCTAGAAAGGAAAAAAATGCCAATTAATATCAAGTGGAATTAATGTCAGTGGAATTTGCTTAATTTTGCATTATTGTTATTTTATACCTGTCGAATCTCCATTTTCTGTTGATTCTGCTTCTTTATCGTTAGACTCTTTCTCTTCGGCCGAGCCATTTTCTTTGGTTTCTTGTGCATCACCATTCTCGGATGCCTTTGAATCTTCGTCAACTTCTTGAGCAGGCTTCTTTTCTTCTTCTACAACTTTCTTCTCCGGGGTGGAGACAATTTTAGCTTCCCTGAAGATCAAAAATACAATATAAATAAAATTGTTTCTACGATAAAAGTATAATATTCATATTATGAATTGTGCACCGTGGCTTCGTAAGTATTTGTAAAAAGAATGATACAGTACTTGAAAACAAGAGCACGACGGACGTGTTCGAAACGCGGAGAGGAGAGATAGTTAAAAAAACTATCGAATTGGGCGCGTATCGAATTTGCTATAGTCTGGTATCAGTTTATACTTCGCAACTATAGACAAAGATGGAACGATGGTGAAAAGGAATAGAGATAGGACGCGCCAACCGTGGCGGCACCTAGCGATGTTGATATTATCTTGTCTTCATTCCCCTTTCTAGCAACCCTCTCTCTTTAGTAAGAGGACACGTACACGACGCATCTTGGACACAAACATATACATACAGAACGTTTCGGCGCGGCAAATCGTGGCTGTCGAGGACCGTAAATACATACATCACATAACATGTATATATATATTTATTCTCCTAGCGATCGAAACAATAAATTTAAGCAGCGTCGAAGTATCCCGACAAAAATACAATGATACCAATTTACCAACGATATACAAAAATGTAAACATTAGCATTTCCACCATGTAATGGTTAAGGGAGAACAGATCGATAAGCTGTATGATCATCTTTCTAAGATGTTGCACGTGTAATCGTTCGCAAAATATTCCTAAGCCATTACGTACACGTAATCAGACATCCTTTTTCTTTTTTTTTTTAATCAAATGTCTAAACATTTGTATGGCCGTGTGTGTACCGAGCACTTAAATATATACACACGCATACCAACGAATGCCAGCTACGATATTCTCGGATATTCCGAATTACTTATTAATGAAGATATGTTTATTCTGTGTAGAGAGAGAGAGAGAGAGAGAGAGAGAGAGAGAGAGAGAGAAACACACAACTCGTAGGATACGGACGGGGGTAATGGTAACAAGAACGCATGAATAACAAACACTTTGATGACACGCGTTGTGCCACTTTACCGTTGTCGTCGTGCATACGCACGTCCGTGAAGCCACAAGTGGGAAAAATAAAATCATAAACGATGCCGCCAGAAACCGATGGCACCGCAAGTAGAGCACGCATCGTGGCAAAACCAGGTATGTAATTCCTGAGAACGTAATGCGTCTTACGAATCAAGCTGAGAATATCACGTAGGGAGAGAGTATACCCGCCCTCCCCTCCCCTCTCCTGTTGTCCCTTTCTCGCGGCCTGTATACTCTTACAAAACTACGTACGCTTTCAAAACTACACGATCAACCGAGATAGAAACGAAATTGTGAAAGCGAGCGAGCGAGCTCGATTCGAAACGACTCCGTTCGTGATCCGATGAAACGAGGAATTGTAACACGATTAGATCGTTATAGCCCGCCGTTACTGTTTTTCCCCGTGAAACGAAACATCACGGAAGCGTTCTGTGATGAAAAGCGCGATTTTCCTGAGACAAATCGATAAGGAAAAAAAAATCTATGGCAACTTACTTGGTTTCCGTATCCGCCATGGTGATCGATTTAATCGGGAGGGTCGATCAAGTGTTTCGGGTACTAAACGCACTAAATTAAGGTTCGGGTTTTCTACGCACCGGTAAGCAGACGTAGAATTCTGGTATCACCACTGCCGCGTAGTCGCGTACCGACGCGCAAATGGCAGAGACTCGCACACTGATTCGCCCGAGACCCGAGTTACTCGGCCCGGCCGGCAGGCCGGCGGCCTTCAAACACTTTTCTTTCCCGCTCGTTTACAGATGGCGTACGATTCAGCCCTCGATCAACGAGATAACTCGAAATTTGACATTAAATTGCAGAGAAAACGCGAACGCAGCCCGCGAATACGACACTGGGATATTCTTCCATGTCCATCAAGACGAGAACAAATTAACCGAAGCACCGCGTTATTACGAATACGTTACACGTTCATAAAAATTGATTCGAAACACGCATAAATTTGTCGCTATATTCCGCCGGCGGTTACGACAGAGTCCAATGGAGTTTCCCGCAGTGGTACACCGCAGATAAATAAAAATATTTCAGTAGCTCGTTTCGCGTTGATGTCGGCGCTATTTCGTTTTAAAAAAAGCAACGATAATAATGTTAAGTTACGATCGGTGTAATTAACACCGTGTCATTTGAAATTCATCGTAGTAGTGACTTTGTCGCGTGTGACTTTGTTAAATATCGCTCCGAAGTAGCACACCGACCAATTGTATCTTGTCTTGCAAAACGCGTAAAAAATCTCCGCGCTTCCGGCGCTAGCAACCAATTGTTTGAAGAACCTGTACCGTGTTCGACGTTCCATCGAAAAGCCGTGCTAGATAATGAATCTTGTGCACAATTTAACACGTCGATTATTATATCGGAGGGACATTCTGCACGGAACAAGGGTAATAATGCGAGATTTAAACGGAAGTCAAGTTCGGAAAGTTCTAGAAGTTTCGCGTATGGCCCCGTTTCCGGTGTATATTAAAAGGTGCGCGATGCTTTCAGGTTGATCCGCGCAGCCGACCGAAAGACTCCGCTGCATTTACGTCCATGTTACAGGTTGCCTTCGCTGTGTGAAACACAGTTAAACATCACTTTTCCGTTTTAACGTAATAATATTACTTCCCTCCGACACCGCCGTGCCAAAACGTGTCGTTTCGAAAATAGTTTTTATCAATCCACGAAAATAGCTCCTACACTAACGTTCTCCAGATATTTTTGTCGGATGGTATATATATATATGTATATATTTATATAACTAACGCATTCGATTACATAGGGAATATTATTAAAATATTCCATAAAATATTACCACGTATTTTCGAGCTTTAGTTACGCAACGTCCAACATCAAAGTCGTTTTTTACCTCGTTATGATCCTTAGAAAAACGTAAATGTTATCGAATTATAACGGCGTTATCGATCAATTTTATTAGATATTTATGTATATATCGTCAAGATTTAAAGAGAAAACTATATTGTAGAAGTTTCGGTTTCTATAGGTTTTGCAGTTCATTTTCATATTCACGAAAATTCGTGCGAACGTATCGGATTAGGCGGTTCATAAATGGATTTTTTTGTACGATGTGTGCCACGTGCCAGGAGCCTACGTAAGCACAAAGATAACACACCGAGCAGCTGCTTTGTACAGTGCAGGTGAAGACGTGCGAAACAGATGCTCTCCTCTTCGAATACCTTTTACACGGCGAAACATTGAACATATATATACTCTTGCCAAATCGAGTAGGGATGTGTCAATGAAACTTTCCACTAGGAAGGCGTACACGCACGGCGTTCCTAGTTCGCTTCTATTTATGATACGATACACACGGAAGCGCAACGAACACGCGACATTTGTACAGGAACAGCCAGCAACATGTTACCCACGTTGTACATATTTAGTCCCGCGTGAAATATTGCGAATGAAACGCATCTCGTAAGTTTAGACCCGCGAAGCTGAATGAATTTTCTTAGCGAGTATTTAAGCTTTGCGAATTTATTTCGCGGACCGGCGCGTCTCGATCCGATCGATTCTCACGAGATTGAAATATCGTATTAATAATCGAATCGTTGGCAGAAATCTGTTGACATGCAGGCTTTACTCGATAAAATTAAATCTCGTTTTAGTGGGTCAGTGGAAGTGTTCAGTCACAAGCTATTTCGATGACAGTAACCTATATTTCTACTGGCTTTGCAGTGTCAAACTAAAGATAGCATCGCGCATCTAAATTTTCATTTCGCTGGACTACATTCTCGCTTTTCTCGATGTGCGTGCGCGCGCGCGCGCTCTCCTCTTATTTTCCAGATTGTAGTTCGTTCGTGGTGCTTTTTCATTTCGCGATTACCTTTTCGACGGCGGAAAAAGTAAGAGGAACAAAAGATATACAAATTCGTCGAGTAATGTCCCGTTTCGAAATGTGAGAACCGATTGTATAAGCTTTTATATTTACGATTCAGCACAGATACTGCTTTACATAGTTCGCGATGCCCTCATGTTTAATTGATCCGACGTGTGTATTTCGTTTATTAATAACGTTACAATGTTAATTAAGACGCGAAGGCTGAGGGCGACGTTCCGTGAACGCGGGACTCGAGAGAGAAAAAAAAAAGAACGATACAAACAAATCGGCACATAGCCGATTTTACTTTCCTTCGACAAATTGGCACACGGTTTTCAGAGCTTCGGGTCGTCGTCGGAATCAATAGAGCGCGTGGTCGCGCGCATCCCATAGAGTAGATACGAACCGAGAGACTGATGCAAGAAACACATCCGAACGTAACCTCGATAGAAATGTCTTTTACCACCTTTACCCAGAGAGCCTGGCTGCTGTGCAATGCGCCGGAACTATATGTACTATGTACGTATGTACACACAAAAATACTGTGTATCCGAAAGGCCTGACCTGGTCGTACCTTTTTGACTCGTTGGTAACCGGTTCGTCCCGTCCTCCAATCGACTCCACCTAGCTTTCTCGACCGTGTCTCTCTCTCTCTCTCTCTCTGCCGCTCTAAAATTGTGCCTGCATGCTTATCTACAGTTACAAACTAATTGCCAAAGGATTATCACAGGTCATCGGGTGTTCAACCTTCCGTGTACATACCACGGTTCAATACCACAAAACAGATCGATTATTATTAATAGCGATGGAACTACCAAATTGGTACTAAAGCCGACTCGATATCAGCTTTATAACGTCGTAACCGCTGCATCATAATCGAATACGAGACCAAATCAAAATGTTCTCCATATTATTACCAACAGCAGACCGGTTTCGCAACCTTTCAACATTTCGATTCGTAGGAATTTTCATCGGAACGGTAAAACCGCAGGGCACATCACTGCGACTCTATAAAAATATAATATATGTATATATATATATATATTAACTTTTAACGAAACAGCATCTTGCACAATTTCTACGATATTTTATATAAAATATTATTCGATGCGTCATCGAACCGCCTAAGAATATACCGAATAACATACGAACGCGTTAACGAACAATTCGAAACGCGATTACGTAAAATTGATCGTCGATTCTGACCGCGTTCGTTTGTAACTATATTAAAATATCATTTTTGGTACAATTAAAAACACTAGAATTTCTCCTTTGGGTATAACGAACATACTAGCGACACTGGTTGTTGTCATTTTTGTTTTTGTTTTTTTTTTTATACGAACGAGACCGAAACTCGCGAGATTCCGATGGTTTTAGCCGCGGCGACGTTAGCATGTTACATTGTTTTCCCTGCGTGACCTAGAAAGTGATATTCCTGTTTGAAAAGGCGACGCAAACGAGATCGGCACACGTAGGAAAGATTTCGTGATTCGACGGAGAAACCTTGAGGGCGAGCTCGTAAGTTGAAACAGTGTGTTGGCGCTTTGAATCGCTAGTACCCGGACGCCGCCGCGCGGCGGCAGCACCTGCCGAGGCGTCGGCGAAATTCGCCCGTGCTACATCTATCGGCGGCAAGCTGAAGCAGCGGCCGATCAGTGCAGCACAGTATCTCTCTCGCTTCCTAGAGCGGCGCTTCGTCATTTTCGTGTCCGTGCGAGGTCCCGAACGAACGAGTGGAGAGATCCGCGTCGCCATCTTTAGGAACGGTACCGACTGCCTCCGCTACCACCGCCTGCTCCGTTCCAAACGAGCTCGAAGTCGGTTTACGCGAGTCGAACGAAACGGTCAGTGAGAGTTCGATTGCGACAGCGCATACACCTGTTCCTGCATCGCGGTGGGCGACGCGGCATTTAATCGTTCGCGATGTTCATTTAATACCATCGAGAGACACCGAGAAGAGAGCCCCGCGTATGTGCCGTGCCGCGTAAGTTTATTTCGCGGGCGACGATTATCGCGAGGGTTGAGAACGATCGGAAATCGAGACGTTTCCTTTTCTTTTTTTTTCCCCCGGTTCACTCTGCACTCTCCTCTCGTTTGACCCTCGTTTAAAACTATCGTGTCTAATTGCAGATTCTGCCGCTTGGTACGTTCCACCGTGAAACAACCAGTGTACAGTAAAACAGTGTTTTGATAAACGTCGTCGGGGAGCAAGTGGGAACGGGGGTACAGTGTCGTCTCGAGGCTACGGTAAATTACGCTCGTCGGACAGGAATTAGAAAAGAAAGAGGGAGAGGAGGAAGCGTTTGAGAGGTGGCTGTGAGCGAACGGACAGCGACGACGGGCAAGTACAATTGACAGGAAAGATGGCGCGAGGTGCGGGCGAGGATTAATGCTGACCCATTTTTCCGCGCGAAATCGTTCGTTCTTACTTCGCCGTGCGACCGATCGAAAGGGACCATTAAACTTAGATCGCAGATCGCGCGGGCCACCCTCGGTCCCTATCGAGTGCGAATCGATTCGAGTAGTACCAAGAGGGGTAACTCGGTTCGTTGCCTGCAGGAGGTTCTCTCTAGCCACTGTACGGTTCCGCGCGTGTGCCCGATTCTTGCGTAAGTGTGAGTGCCCTCCTAAACGTGTGTGGGGCTCTTGTAGGACCAGCATTGACAAATATCGTAACGGACTGGCTGCGGGAGATCGGAGACGGAACGGGGGAGGGAACGGTAGAAAACGCCGAGTACTACGCTGCGTGCGATAGAAAAACGGTGTGCGAGAATCGGTGCCGTGACACGAGTGTCCGTGGACGACGGCAAAATTTTCAACAACTATAGGTCGTCGGGGCCTTGGCAGGCTCGGCTGCGGTAGACAGCAGAGAGAGAGAGAGAGAGAGAGAGAGCGTCGGGGAGAAAAGGAGGTAGTGAGAGATAGATAGATAGAGAGAGAGAACTAAGACGAAGACGCGGTCTTCTGTAATCTCGTGGGCTGCGTATAGTCCTGGCTTGCTCGGGTACGAGCGCGGCTGCTAAGATGGGCAACAATGCCGCGACGTCGTATAAAAGGGTCGACGCTGCCGAGAGCGTCAAGGAGTTTCTCGACAAGGCGAAGAAGGAGTTCGAGGACAAGTGGAAGAAGAACCCGACGAATACCGCCGATCTCAACGACTTCGAGCAGATCAAGACACTCGGGACCGGCTCGTTCGGCCGTGTCATGATAGTGCAACACAAGCCGACCAAAGAGTATTACGCCATGAAGATACTCGACAAGCAAAAGGTCGTGAAACTCAAGCAGGTGGAACACACGCTGAACGAGAAGAGAATACTGCAGGCGATTAGCTTCCCGTTCCTGGTCTCGTTGCAGTTCCACTTCAAGGACAACTCGTACCTGTACATGGTGCTCGAGTACGTGCCGGGCGGCGAGATGTTCAGCCATCTGCGGAAAGTCGGCCGTTTCACGGAGCCGCATTCGCGTTTCTACGCGGCGCAGATCGTGCTCGCGTTCGAATACCTCCACTACCTCGATCTGATCTACAGGGACCTGAAGCCGGAGAATCTGTTGATCGACTCGCAGGGCTACCTGAAGGTGACGGACTTCGGCTTCGCGAAGAGGGTGCAGGGCAGAACGTGGACCCTGTGCGGCACACCGGAGTACCTGGCGCCCGAGATCATCCTGAGCAAAGGGTACAACAAGGCGGTCGACTGGTGGGCCCTCGGTGTTCTCGTTTACGAGATGGCGGCCGGTTATCCGCCGTTCTTCGCCGACCAGCCGATACTGATCTACGAGAAGATCGTCTCGGGGAAGCCGCGGTTCCCCTCGCACTTCGGCTCCGACCTGAAAGACTTGCTCCGTAACCTGCTGCAAATCGATCTGACCAAGAGGTACGGTAACCTGAAGGCCGGCGTGAACGACATCAAGGGCCACAAGTGGTTCGCCAGCACCGACTGGATCGCGGTCTTCCAGAAGAAAATCGAGGCGCCGTTCATACCGAAATGCAAGGGGCCTGGGGACACGAGCAACTTCGACGACTACGAAGAGGAGACGCTCAGGATCTCGCAGACGGAGAAGTGCGCCAAGGAGTTCGCCGAGTTCTGAATTCACCGGTGGATCGAAGATGGATACACGTGTCGCGTATTTATTCATATGCGATGGTTCGTCATACGTTGGTCGCTTTTATCGAGCGAGAGAAAAATGATGGATGAAGTAAGATGGTATACGTGCGCGGGGGGGAGGGCGGCGGCGGCGGCAGCGGCAGCGGCAGCGGTGGCGGCGACGGCCAGGGCCGGGGAGGGGAGGGGGGCGTAAGAGCGAGCAAGAAAGTATACGAGAGAACGTATACGTGTGC